GAGCAGGGAGCCCAATGCAGGGCTCGATCCCAGGACCCTGGGATCATGACCTGAGCCGAAGGCAGACGCTTAACGACTGAGCCACCCAGGTGCCCAAGATTTCATTCTTTTTGATGGCTAATATTCCATTGTAGGGATTGATAGGTGTTTTGATACTGAATGTGTAGATTGCTTTGGGTGGTATAGACATTTTAACAATATTTGTTCTTCCAATCCATGAGCATGGAATGTTTTTCCATTTCTTTGAGTCCTCTTCAATATCTTTCATAAGTTTTGTATAGTTTTCAGAGTACAGATCTTTTACCTCTTTGATTAGCTTTATTCATAGGTATCTTACTGTTTTTGGTACAATTGTAAATAGGATCTATTCCTCAATTTCTCATTCTGCTGCTTCATTATTGGTGTATAGAAATGTAAGAAATTTCTCTACGTTGATTTTATGTCCTGTGACTTTGCTGAACTCATGTTATCAGTTCTAGTAATTTTTTGGTTAAAGTATGTCATCTGCGAATAGTGAAAGTTGACTTCTTCCTTGTTGATTTGAGGGCCTTTTATTTCTTTTTGTTGTCTGACTGTTGAGGCTAAGACTTCTGGTTCTATGTTGAGTAACAGTGGTGATAGTGGATATCTCTCTTGTGTTCCTGACCTCAGGGGAAAAGCTCTCAGTTTTTCCCCATTGAGGATGATACTAGCTGTGGGTCTTTCGTATATGACCTTTATGATGTTGAGGTATGTTCCACCTATCCCTACTTTGTTGAGGGTTTTTATCAAGAATGGATGCTGTATTTTGTCAAATGCTTTTTTGGCATCTATTGAAAGGATCATATGGTTCTTATCCTTTCTTTTATTAATGTAGTTCTTATGCTTTCTTTTATCAATTGATTGATTTGTGAATATTGAACACCTCTGCAGCCCAGGAATAAATCCCACTTGATCGTGATGAATAATTCTTTTAATGTACTGTTGGATTCAGTTTTGGTAGTTTGTATGTTTCTAGGAATTTATCTATTTCATCCAGATTGCCCAATTTGTTGGCATATAATTTTGCATAATATTCTCTTATAATTATTTCTATTTCTGTGGTGTTGGTTGTGATCTCTCCTCTTTTGTGATTTTATTTATTTGGGTCTTTTTTCTTTTTGGTAAGTCTGGATAGGAGTTTATCAATTTTATTAATTCTTTCAAAGAACTAGCTCTTGGTTTCATTGATCTGTTCTACTGTTTTTTGTTTGTTTCTATATTGTTTATTTCTGCTCTAATCTTTATTATTTCCCTTTTTCTGATGGATTTAGGCTTCATTTCCTGTTCCTTTTCTAGCTCCATTAGGTATAAAGTTAGGTTGTATATTTGAAACTTTTCTTGCTTCTTAAGGTAGGCCTGTATTGCTATGTACTTCCCTCTTAGCACCACTTTTGCTGCATCCCAAAGGTTTTGGACAGCCATGTTTTCATTTTCATTTGCTTCCATGCATTTTTTTATTTCTTCTTTAATTTCTTGGTTAACCTAGTCATTCTTTAGTAGGATGTTCTTTAACCTCCATGTATTTGTGGTCTTTCCAAGTTTTTTCTTGTGGTTGACTTCAAGTTTTACAGCATTGTGATCTGAAATATGAATGGTATGATCTCAATCTTTTTGTACTTGTTGAGGCCTGATTTGTGACCCAGTATGTGATCTATTCTGGAGAATGTTCCATGTGCACTCAAAAAGAATGTGTATTATGCTGCTTTAGGATGAAATGTTCTGAATATACCTGTTAAGTTCATCTGGTCCAGTGTATCATTCAAAGCCACTGTTTCCTTGTTGATTTTCTGCTTACACGATCTGCCCATTGCTGTATGAAGGTTCTTAGAGTCCCCTACTATTATTATATATTATCAATGAGTTTCTTTATGTTTGTTATTAATTGATTCATATATTTGGGTACTCCCAGGTTGGGGGCATAAATATTTACAATTGTTGGATCTTCTTGTTGCATAGACCCCTTAATTATGATATAGTGCCCTTCTTCATCTCTTGTTACAGTCTTTGGTTTAATATCTAGTTTGTCTCCTATAAGTATGGCTACTCCGGCTTTCTTTTGATGTCCGTTAGCATGATAGATGGTTTTCCATCCCCTCATTTTCAATCTGGAGGTGTCTTTAGGTCTAAAATGGGTCTCTTGGAAGCAGCATATAGATGGGTCTTGTTTTTTTTATCCCTTCTGATACCGTCTATCTTTTGATTGGAGCATTTAGTCCACTTACATTCAGAATAATTATTGATAGATAAGAATTCAGTGCCATTGTCTTCCTGTAAAGTCACTGTTTCTGGAGATTTTCTCTGTTCCTTTCTAGTCTTTGTTACTTTTGGTCTTTCCTTCCCACAGAAATGGTCCCCTTTAATATTTCTTGCAGGACAGGTTTAGTGGTCAGGAACTCCTTTGGGTTTTGTTTGTATGGGAAACTTTTTCTCTCTCCTTCTATTTTGAATGACAGCCTTGCTGGATAAAGTATTATTGGCTGCACATTCTTCCCTTCAGCATGTTAAATATATCATGCCACTCTCTTGCCAGATTCCTGTGGACAGATCTGCTGCTAGCCTGATTTGTCTTCCCTTGTAGGTTAAGGATTTCTTTTCCCTTTCTGCTTTCAGGATTCTTTCCTTATCTCTAAATTTTGCAAATTTTGCTAAGATATGTCTTAGTGTTGGCTGGCTTTTGTTGAATTTCATGGGAGTTCTCTGTGCCTCCTGGATTTGGATGTCTGTTTCCTTCCCCAGATTAGGGAAGTTTTCACCTATAATTTGCTCAAATAAACCTTCTGTCCCCTTTTCCCTCTCTTCTCCTGGGACTCCTATGATAGGAATGTTATCACACTTTATGGAGTCACTGAGTTCCCTAAGTCTATATTTGTGTTCCAATACTTTTCTTTCCCTCTTCTTTTCAGCTTTATTGTTTTCCATAATTTTATCTTCTTTTTTAAAAAAATATTTTATTTATTCATTTGAGAGAGAGAGAAAGAGAGGGAGAGCAGGGGGGCAGAGGGAGAGAGAATCTCAAGCAGACTCTGCACTGAGCGTGGAGCCCAATGCATGGCTCAATCTCAAGACCTGAGCTGAAACCAAGAGTCAGAAGCTTAACCGACTGCACCACCCAGGCACCCCCATAATTTTATCTTCTATTATCACTGATTCATTCCTCTTCTTTGTCCGTCCTTGTTGTCATTACAACCAATCGGTTTTGTATCTTGGGTATAGCATTTTTTTTATTTCAGCCTAACTAGTTTTTAGTTCTTTTATCTCTGGAGTAAGGGATTCTCTAGTGTCTTCTATGCTTTTCTCAAGCGCAGCCAGTATCCTTATTATTGTTGTTTTAAATTCTGGTCCAGGCATATTACTTATATCTGTTTTGATTAGATCTCTGGCTGTGACTTCTTGTTCTTTCTTTTGGGGTGAATTTCTCCATCTTGTCATTTTGTCTAGGTCACTATTTCTTTGTGTGTGTTAGGAAAGCCTGTTTATATTTCTTGCTCCTGAGAGTAATGGCTATACTAAAAAAAGGTCCTATACTCTCCAGGACCTGATGCTTCAGGAAGTGTTTCAGAGTATGCACTCTGCTCTTCTATTTTGGCTGCTCTTTCCCTCAGGTCAGTCCTCTGCAGAGTTTCTCCTTGCTTGCTGTGGGGAGTGTTTGGACCTTGTTCAGTATATGGCATTTTAACTAGGTATGCTCTGGTCTGTTTATTAAAATAAGCCCAATCCTATTGCCACGGGAGCTGAAGCTCTGCAACACTCTATGATCAGGAGACTTGGTGCATGCAAGGGGTTTGTGCTGGTCTTCTGGGGGAGGTGCCCACTGCACTGGTTCTCAGGTTGACTTGCCCTAGTAAAAATGCACCTGTGGGGTGATGGCTCCAGCCTCTACTGGTGGTGCTGTGTTGCTCACTGAAGTCTGTCAGTGTTGATGGGTGGGGGAAAATGGCATTGCCCCACTCTCTTGTCCCTGGAGCAGGGAGTTTGCACCTGCTACTCTTCAGAAAGCCCTCACAGAAGAGCAGTCTTTTTCCCCTTTTGTGTCCCCAGCTTCCATGAGATCTCTGCCTCCACCCTGTCAGCGTCCACGCTGTCTGCCTGCCAGGTGGCACAGTACTCCTGTGTTTTATCTCAGGAGTGTGGTTGGGTTTCAAAACTCCAAATTTTAGGGGTCCAGTGCTATGCGGATCCACACTGATCATCTGCGGGAGGGTCTCACCATGCTGCAGCTGGTGCCAGTTTGTCCCAGAAAAGCAGCCATATAATCACATGGGGGCTTGGAGTTTATGGTAAAGTGCAGCAAAAAGCTGGCCCCAAGGTTTACTGCCCTCAGCAGATGTCTCTGTTTCTATGCTAGTGAACGGGGCAGCACATTGGTGCCTGCCAGCACTTTGTCCCCCGAGAGGCCATGCCACCTCTCCCAAATGCACTCTAAGAAGGGAAACTGTTTCTCCCCCAGCAACCCAGGGGATCTTCAGACCACGCTGTCCACTCCCAGGCTCTGCCCTTCTTCCCCAAAGGACCACTGCTATGCCCACCAGGCTCTACCCGGCAGTGGCAGGGACTTCTAAAACTTCGGACTTTGAGCTCTCTGCTTGTAAAAACTTGCCACTCTAGCTTTCCCAGTCAGTGGTTTTGGGGAAGTGTTTCTCTTGCGTAATCCCCAGGGCAGTGCTTTCCATCTATATCTTTATCTCTCTCTCCTCTCTCCGAGATCAAGGCTCCCTCCCCTCTGCAGCACCCACGATTCTTTCTCCCCAGAATCATGTCTCTGCACCTCCTACCTTCCATGATGTGGCTTCTTTTCTCCCTCTAGTTCTGCATTTTGTTCTCTCAGCATTCAGATCGATTCTCAGATATTTGGAAGATTTTATATTTATCTAGCTGTGTTTGAGGGACGAGGCATGCATAGGGTCCCCCTATTGCTCTGCCATCTTAACCCTCAGTACATTATTCTTTAGAGCAAAAGATCTCAAATGCAAAGGGAATGAATATGAATTGGAAAGTTGCATTGGAAATGGAGAGCTGGAAGCCCATAGTTTATGCATTCACTTCCACTTTCAAGGTTTGATATGCTCCAAATTTAACTTTTTAAGTAACAACAATGGACATATGTATTTATACACACAAGTACATACATGTGATCTTTCAGTCCTTGTTGCTAGATCTCAAGTTACGGCAGGACCAATATATCCTTCATTTGATTCAAAATAGAGCTAAATTCTCACTTCTGTTAAGTCTCTCTGACTCCTTCAATACAACAGCTCACAAACATCTACTAGTCATATTTCTATTTGTTTTGAAAGTTTCCTTGTCCTCGAACACAGCTTACATAATATTATGTTGAGCTACTAAACATTTGCAGATCATGCCAAGAGTCTCAACATCATATCCTGCATATATGGCAACATCCTACACTATAGTTCTGCTTGTTTCCCTGTAAGAGTTCTCACAGAGTTCACTTCTGAGGAACAAGACATAACGAGGGAATGAGGTCAGGGGAAGCATACATAAAATCAAGTCATAACAATGTCTTATGGAAATCACTTTGCCCTCTCTGAAACATTTCTACTTTGAATCTTTACATGTTTCAGAAAATTAAAATAACATAGTAGAAAATAGAAATTAGTGCCCAAAGTAGATTCTACTGTTTTAATTCATCTCTAAGGAAATTTACTTTCCTTTTCACTCTGATCCAGAATTCAAACGAAAAGTAAGTAGGTATTCCCATACCTGTCATAGCCCAGAGGATGAGGAGAATGACCATCAAATTTGGGACTGCTTCTAGAAATTGTATTCCCTGGTGATATATTATTTATGCGCTGTAATACACAAAGTATATAAGCAACATTTGGTTATTCCATATTTATACATAATACATATACACACACACATATATATAGCACACTAATTAACTTCTAACGTAATTAAAAGTTTGGTATCCTACATGAGCAAATGTGAGCACAGACACCAAGGTAACTGCCTATAGTACTCTCTCCTCATTGTGTCTTAGATCCAAATACCATTGCATAAGCCATAAAGGGGTATCCTGGTTCCCCACATTGGCCAGGACCCTGCAATACCAACTTCTTTGGATTTATCTCTTCTCAAACTATAAATCTGGCTCAGTGACTGACTTGGCCATACTTAAAGCTATGGCAAAGGAACCCCAAACTCGAAGCTGACCCCCAAAAGTGGGAGAAGAGGATTTCGGGCACGTGTAGTCCAGGGAAGTTCCTCAAAATTCCAAGAGGGGCTTAGCTTGTTTCTGTAGCAGGGTTTTAAATCCAAGGCCTCCACTCTGATCATCTCACGACCATAAAGAATACTCAGTGTGTCTAAGTGCACTCCTCAGCCAGAAGCACCTTCTCCCTCCTCTGATGGGAAGTATTTTCTTCCTACTTCCATAAGATTTCCCAATTTTTCTTACATCATTGCTATCTGTGCACATCTTAACTCCCTACACTACACTATAAACTCTTCCAGGACCCAGGTCACACCTTATATGTCTTTCTCTGGTTTCCCTGAACAGCTAACAGAGAGTTGGTGAACATCTAGACATTTATTTCTGCAGAGGGGTGGCATATTCTTTAATTTGGGAAAATGCTGCCTTCTCTTATTAAATGGAATAGTTTCTCATTATTGTAAGCTCCCCCTTTAAGAAAATACATGATCTTCATCAAAATACTCTACTACAAGAAAGAACAAAATGTATTATAAAATTCTACTTCATACCGAAGATCTGTTGAACTTGCTGTAACTGTTTTCAAGGGCACTCCTAAGGCCGTCATTACTGTCATGTAACTTCCGGTTAGCTGTTCTACAGAGCAAATAAACAAACAAACAGATAAGGAAAGTTGGGGTAAAAGCCACTTTCTTTGCAGGCTGTGAAGTTCAGAACGTGGAATTACTTACCACCTCTTGCAACTTTCTACCACTCCCCTTCCAACCTCATAAACCGAGATCATAATTCATTACAAGAACTACAACTTAATTGAGGGATCCCCTCTCTTTTAAAGGTCTCAGAGCATTTCAGGAATTAGCTATGCTGTTGGAACCCACTGTTCCCTCAGGTAGCTTCAAGATATGAACAGGTTTCCTACAGGTCTCTGCTTCCTAAATGCCAGGCCCCAGCTGGCCCCATGTGCTGCCCTCTGTCCCCCTGCGCATGTCCCAGCCAGGCGTGGAAGCGATGTGTTATGTCACACTTCTTTCTCCTGGCTACTCCCACATCTTCCTCATGGCCTGATACTGTCCACCAGGGTACCGATGAAAGGTTCTAATGTTGACTCTGGGTTCAAACCCCATGCAGGCATGTACTTTCCACATCACTGATGGGAGTCATCTGACCTGTCAGAGCCTCAGCAACCTCTTCTACAAACGGAGGACAATGCCGCCTGAGAGTGGCCCATCTTTCCCTACTTAAGGCTGATCCATCCTTCAGATCTCAGCTCAGTTGTTGTATCCGCCAGGACACTTCCTGGACCTTCCTGGGTAGGAGGAATCTCTGTACTATATGCCCCAGCAGGTACACCCCTTCCCTCTGTCCCACTTCTCCTTTGGCATTTTATGTTTATTTCTATAATTAGTGATCAGTTTCCATCTTCTTCCCCTAGATGAGCCCCATAAAGAGACTTTTTTTTTTCTTTTCTTTTTACTTGCCGCTCTATCCTCAGCTCCTGGCATACCTGACCCATAAAAGTTGCTGAATGAAAACCTGCTGGATGAATGAATAAATGCATGAGCAGGATTATTGTAACATGTCAACTCTGTAACTGCCACTGGTGAGACTTAACAGGCATGGTGAAAACAAATTTGCCAAGCCTGACCTTACTTCCTTCGGGAAGACAAACCAGAAGAACATACATGAGTAAAAAAGAGCATGGGAGTAGAGGAGGGGGAGAGTTTGTGGAGAAGGCCCTCAGAGGCTGGAATTATGGTAACACGGGTGTGAAGTTGACAAAGCAGGTATAGTATTTCCAGTAGGGTTTAAAAAAAAAAAAAACCTAAGAAAAATAGCCGTCTCACCAAGAACAATACGTTGGGCAAGAATGATCGCGTGTGTCTAGTGCTGTGACGTGAGCTAACAGGAGATTCCTGACAGCCTCCCGGTGTGCTGGGCTGTAGAGACAGCTGCTGAGGTCAGAGCTGAGTCTTTATGGAGGTATAATAACATCTCACCTGACTTGGAAGGACTTTGAGAGAATCAGACTCTAGTCCCTGGATTTGAATAGTTTATTTAGGATTAAAAGCAGGAGAAAGCCAAGTGCTGAATGCACCACAGCGAGAAGAAACATGCATGGACCTGCAAACCCAGTCTTGAGAATATGGCAACTCATGTGACATGGGGCATGTGTCTTATTCACAAAACATCAGGAAAATGTAAATGTAATGAGCGTTTTATATGAGAACTTACTGGAGTATTTCAATTTGCCTCTCAAGACTATTTCGATCTTCTGTGTACTCTCGGATTATTTCCAGATCCCTGTAAAACCATATTTTATGTTTGAACGAGAATTAGGTATCCAGTCCTGCCTTACACCTACCCTCCCAGACCCCCTTTCACCTTTCTCAAAGACCTGTGTCCTTGGCCATGGTTTTCTATCCCCTGGGGTTCCCACTTAGTCCCTCTGTGCCTTCAGCAGCCCCACATGCCCGCACACCCCCCCTTTCCTGTGCAAGGTCCTGCTCTCCCTCCCAAACCCAGCGCTGCTCCTCACAGGACGCCTTGACCCTTCACCTTCTGCTAAGCCCCCTCTCCCCAGGGACTCATTAACAGTCCCTTCAATCCAGCGTGCTCTCTCCCCTCTGACCCTTCCCTGCTCCTTCCCTGCCTCATGCAATCCTAACCCAGCTATTTTCCTCCTTCTTGGTGATTCTTTCTCCTCACCCCACCTGGCCCTCCCCGCCTCACCCTAAACCACAGAGGAGTCCACGGGACCGGGCTTTCTCCGCCTGCCATAAACCCATGCTCAGCGATTCCTGTTGCTTTATTACAAAGCCCTGGCCTCCTCCCCGTAACGTTCCCTGAGAACATTAGCCACTCACCACCAGCCCCTATTCCACCTCAGCCCCATTTCTAAGCAGACAAACCAAAGACTCTCAGGCTCTCAACTGTTACCCACAATAACCTGTCCGCTCACTCTCTTGATGATAAAGCTAAGAGGTTCCCAATTGACAATAGGAATTTAAGTTCCTTAGCCAAAAATGCTGGGCCCTTCCATTTAAACTAGCTTTTAAATTTTTAAATTTTGTTTAACTTTTACTTTGCTATTCAAAATACCTTTTCCTGTCCAGAGGTCTGACCACTGTTCTCCAAAACAGTCTTATCTGTCTCTCTGTTCTTGCCTCTGCCTTGCTTACTGCCTCATCTGGAACAGCTCTGAGACTCTCTTCTCCCCTCTGAAATGGGAAGACTAAAAGTCCCTATCTCACAGGGTATTCTGTGGATTGCAAGAGTTGATGCTAGGAAAGTTCTACGCATGTTACCCCTGCCCCCCTTGACCGACACAAATCAGCTCCTCCCAAGCCAATCTCAGGCGTCTCCTCTTTAATAAAGCTCTTCACCGCCCCTGAATCAAAAGGACACTATCTACCATCACATGGCAAAGGACCCAACCTGCGCCACTGCGGCTGGGATTGTTTCTGACACTGCTGAGCTCCTACGCGAACTCCATAACCCTTCAGCTTTGTGACTTTCTCCACGAATCTGAAGTTCTCACAGAGCAGAGATCACATCTTTGCTTATATTTTTATTTATTTATTTGTTTGTTTATTTATTTATTTATTTATTTATTTCACACTCATAACTCCTTCTGTAGCTCAGGAACCTGTATACAGTAAGTACTTAAATGTTTCACTGCTGACCATTACAGGACCTTAATTGTGATTAAAGTTTGCAAGCAAACAAAGCAAAAAGGATACTTTTCCCAAGTGTATATGTTTATACACACACGCACACACACACACACACACGTGTATGTATGTATTTTGTATGCATATATATCCATATTACATGCAAATATGTGAATGTAAATACCTTTATAAATATCCATATATATATTCAGATATTTATATAGGTATTTGCATATATACATAAATGCATGCCTGTGTGTGTGTGTGCACTTCAATTAGCACTGACTCCCGATACTTTAGGTATATTCTTCTGTTCCCAATAATTCAAACATCTATTAGGCCCTGCACTCTCCAAAGCAGTCAATAATTAAACTAATTAGTATTTTTCTTAAAAAAAATTTAAAACACAAAAATCATCAGGAAATAGGACACTGAAAGCGGTATCTTTGGAAAGCAAAGAACATACCAGCAAGGTCAATAAATAACCCTTTATGATTACGTAGCTGACTTCATTCACACGGATGGTCATCTAAATAAACATTCCACTCAAACTAAAGAATAAAATGCAAAGTTTCATACCTTTCTGAATTCAGAGTCTGATCGGCATAATCACTTTTCAAAGCATCTAATTCACTCTGAAGAAAGGCTATGTTTGTCTGTGCTTCTAAAAGATCTTTCTTAACTTTCTGATTTTCCTGGAGAAAAGAAACAGCGCAGGCCATTAGATTCGGGGTGTCTTCCACCCAGGAGAGTCAAGTGTAGTGGAACCTCGCACCCCAAACCTACACCTCCATAGTTCTTCAAATCTTGGTGTTCAAAGAACTAGTTATCAATTCAAGGTGATCTGAAATTATCATAAAGTATTAAAGTCTCAAAAAGCTAAATCCTTGAAGTTGTTCTCTCTTTTTTTAATGTCTGACATCTGGTGCCAAAAAACACCAGTCAAATCATGATCATGACATACTTTAACATGTTACTGGCAAATGAACTCAGATCAAATATGTAAACATCTGTTTTATTCAATGAGAGCTATGAATCTACTGAAAATATTCTGTGGCATTAATAGTACCTATCACCAGGCAGACTGGCTAGTTTTTACAATAAATCCGATCACCTAACATTTGTAAGTTTTGTGCTTAAAAATAAACTAGTGTAGTTTAAAAAATGTCTATGTTTTCCTAAAAAAAGAAAACAAAAACACACTGGAGGCTTCTGGTGTGTAATGATGAACTGAGCACTCTTCTTTCCTTTTGGAGACCTCATTCACATGAAATGCCAAATAACATGAAATAAACCAATACAAGTTGCAAGAATGCAAGAGGGGCTCCCCAACAGTCAAATGAATTAAATACATTTCTGGAAGATGGAAACTGGGTGGAAATGTGCGGACAAAAGAGAAGAGAGCAGGAGCACAGGAAGTCTGGAAGAGGCATGGGGGAAGATTGTGCTATAGAGCAAAGGAGGAGGCAATTAGCCAGGCAGAACCCCCGAACAGTCAGAAATGGGGCTTAAAAACACAGGTTAAATTTGTGTATTAAGGAACTCGGCCCCCAGCCCCAGGCCATCCCCTCTAATACTAGCAAAGAATAGCAGATAGAGTCGATTCCTAAGGCTGTAAGACAGGGCTTGTCTTTTTAAAAAGAACTGAATTGGGTGCCTGGGTGGCTCTGTCAGTTAAGCATCCAACTCCTGGTTTTGGCTCAAGTCCTGATCTCAGTCAGGGTCATGAGACAGAGCCCCACTCAGGCTCTGTGCTCAGCGTGGAGTCTGTTTCAGATTCCCTGCCTCTCCCTCTGCCCTCACTTGCTCTCTCTCTCTCTCAAACAAATAAATAAAATCTTAAAAAAAAAAAAAAGAATAGAAAAAGAACCGAATGACCCCTATACAGTGTGCTGAGGCTTGTCTCTGAATATCCATATCCCACTCCTTCTGGTCATCAGGGGTCCCCCAGTCTGACAGCCAGCTTCACACACACAGCTCCTAGGAAAACACTCTCTCAGGGAGGAGGCCCTGAGGTAAACAGATCTATTTACCTAGCTGCACAGGAATCCTACGCCAGCTACCTAAAATGCTCAGAAATTCCAGGATGACATATGGGTAGTGAGTTAAAAGAACTATCAGTCCAGTAAGAACTGAAATTCTGTAGACTCTAGAATTAACATTTTCAAGGAGAAAAAACAAATTCCACGCATTGGGAAGAATTAAAAAAAAAAAAAAAGTTGGAAGGCATCAGTGGATGATATCCTGAGGATGCCAGAGTTTCTTTTTACAAGAAACCAAAAACTCAACCAGGAAATGCAAGAAAACTAAGCAATTCTACAAGAAAGTCATGATCCAAATACAGAGCCAACTAAGAAGGGGCAGAATTTGGAACTGATGGTGCATTCCAACTTGACCATGAAGCTGGGAGACTTCTCTTCTGAGTGGTGCGGGGATAATGACTGGAGAGAAAGAAACACACTTATAAGCACAGCTGGGTCACTTCTGGGCTCTGCAATGAGAATATTTAGAGTCCTAATAAAGGAAATGTTCACTAGTGGCTTTCAACTTCTAGAGTCCACCTACAAACAAAATAAAGACAACTTAATGACGATGAAAAAACAGATGCAAATGCTGACAACTTGGCAACAGAAAGACCAAAGATAGGGTCATCAAGGGGGGAAATGGGCAGAAAGAGGAATGCTGGAGGAAGAAAAGGGCAATTATAACCTCATCTCACAAAACCAGGGACACAGACCAGAGCTGAAGTTGTAGGAATGCAGGGTTAACTATGTGAAATGCAAGGGCCATGCCGTCATTGCTTTGAGTAAGAAATAAATAAAAGTGGGCGCCTGGGTGGCTCAGTTGGTTAAGCGACTGCCTTCGGCTCAGGTCATGATCCTGGGGTCCCGGGATCGAGTCCTGCATTGGGCTCCCTGCTCGGCAGGGAGTCTGCTTCTCCCTCTGACCCTCCCCCCTCTCATGTGCTCTCATTCTCTCTGTCTCAAATAAATAAATAAAATCTTT